ATTACAGCTTTTGATAAATTTAGGAAGATCACAAATTTTGCAAATGAAGATAAAAAGAAATATCAATTATTAGATAATGCACTTGAAGAAGCTATTTAAAATTAACAAATGAGGAAAGACGATGATGATAATGTGATCAAAAATCCATTGAAAGTAAAAACTAAAGGATGTCCTAATAAAAAAATCACCCAAAAAATTCATTATACTAGATCAAAAAAAAATAATATTGTGTTGTAATTTTTTTTTCAACAAAATATCACCAGAACAAAAGTGATATAACCTTTTATTTTTTTGTGTGTGTGGCGCTCTCAAAAATGTAAAATTATAGTTTGATTGAGAAATGTACAAAAATAATACATTTATTTTTATTAATGAATAAAAAATACAACAAAAACGGAATCATCAAATTAAGGTTGCAATAAACCTTTATCATTGTGTATTTCCACTTTGGGAGAGAATAAATGCGACCATCAAAATAGTCATTTGCCAACCGTATACCATATTGAGCATAAAAACTTGGATGGCGTGATGATTTTTATAATCAATTTTTGTTTAAATTAATTTATTCAGTTGACTAGATTCAATTATTTGTTTATTATGTAGCTTTTTTCTTTTTTGGTTTTCTGATAATTTCATTGACGAAAATTACCATTTGAGCTCGTGGCGCTCTCAAAAATATAAAATTATTGTTTAATTGAGAATGTTCAAAAGTGGAATCAAGAGAAATTTTAATAATGCATTACATTTATTTATTTATTAATGATTGAAAAATACAAGTATCAAAATTAAGGTTGCAATAAAACCTTTATCTATTGTGTATTTCTACTTTTGGAGATCCTATGAAATATCAAAAATAGTCTTTTTCCAACTGTATACCTTACTAAGCGTGGAAAACTTGGATGATGTGATGATTTTTTTATCATAAATTTTTGTTTAAATCAATTTATTCAATTATTGGATTCAATTATCAATATAAATTTTTGTTTACATATGTAGGCTGAATTTTCGACAATACATATAAGAGTTTATACAATAATAATTAATATTTCCATTGCAAGTTCTACAATAAATATTGTGTTCATTTTTTGAAAGTATATATAAATAGTCCGTTAGAATTTTCAATTTGAAGCATTCAAACCACTTACCTTTATCAAAATGACTACTGCTGAAAAACTTGTAGGAAAAATCCCCGAAGGACACGTTCTCAGGATTCAAACCACACCACCTTCTAAAAAAACAGGAATTAACAAAACTTTTAGTTTTAATGCAACAGCGACCACTCAAGAGCAAGAATTTCAAACAAACAACTGGGACACCGTCTTTGCTGTGCGCGTAGCTGATGTAAACAATGCAATCGTAAATGGAGTGGCAAAACATCCCGAGAAATATCCGCAGAATTGGAGTGCCGAAGTAAAAAAATCGCTAACTAGCAACGAATATAGTGGAAACGGAACCTTTGGAGCCTGGCAAATAACGTTAGGTGGTTCTAGCACCATCTTGAGGATGAAGGTTCCTGTTAAAAATTGTACTATTATCGCCAATTCCGTGAATGTCTCAGTGGAAAGTGCAACAGCCTATATCGAAGCGCACCTCAAATTTCTTTCATACAACAATAATGAGAATAATAAGGTGCTCGTTATTAAAACCACTTCCTCTTCACCCACCGAGACTGCTGTTATAGTTGAATCAGTAATACTAGATAATGTAGATCCCCAAAATAAAGACATAAACGATGCGCTAAAAAACCTTTTACAAAACTGGTTCAATGATAACTTGATTCAGTTCACCCATGTTTTTGCTGCCGTAGACCTCAACATTACAGCTGCTACTGGTGAAGGCTTCCAATGGCTCTTTCCAACTACCACAAGCTATGCATATATTGATGGAACGACTGAGAACAACTCTGTTCTTGCAATTCTTTCTATGGTAAACGGCAATTCCGCTGACATTACAGTGCAATCAGTTGAAGCTGGCGCTATTCCTAAAGGTTCTAAAGCCTGTTTAAATATTTCCAAGCAATTATTTATTAAGGAAATGATCTTGCCCAACATGAAACATGTATTTGAAAAGTCGCCGGCAGATAATTTTATAACCACTCACAATGAAACGGAGGTTGAAATCAAAGACTCTTTCGCACTTGATCCAATTAATCATGCTGGGATAGATTACAAACCAACGTTGACAAAATTTACAATGACTATCAACGTTGACACTATCGAAATGTATATGTTCATTCACATCCCAATCTCTCCAGGTATTGATGCCTATGTTGAAACAACTGGCTATTATCGCATAAAATTAGTTACAGCTGAGGATGGTACCCAGAAGATGACATATGAGGTGGCTAAAGATCCACAAACGAAAACTTGGCATGAAGTGGCTACTTGGGTGGAAGCTGTTGAAGGTGTCGCTGATATAATTTTGGCTGTGGTCACTGTTGGAATTTCTGACGCCTTAGCTGCGATACAACGTACCGTTGTTCGTGTTGTCCTTGCTATCGTTGTTGGAGGAATTGCTGCTGCAATTGCTGTGATATTGGAGAAAATTCCCGAATGGATAGCCGATGGAGTTCCCAATGACCTCCCGTCACTTGATGGACTTGTAGATAATGCATTCAAAGCTACAAAATGGACCGATTCTGGTGATTTTGAACTTACAGCATTACGTTTTAATGGAGCGTTCCAAATGAGTGGTGATCCACACTTTAACGAAAAACAGAATCCTTAACTACTTGCTTCTTATTTCGTTTATTTTATTTTACATGATCAATGGTTTTGATTTTTATATAGCATTATTATTTTAGTTTTTTTTTAAATAACACTTATTTTGTATTATTATTATTAAAAAAATAAAATATACCAGATATCTTTACCATCAACTTTAAATTTTGGGACAATACGAATAATCCTTATAGAAATATATAGGAATTTACTTATATTTTTCCAACAATATTATATATACTTACGTGGATATTATATATTGTATATGTTTTCCGAGAAAAAACAAGGAATTATTATGTATTAACTCAAAATTGCTTTTTATTTCAACATTATGGCCTTTTTTATTGAATATATCATTCTACAATAAATTTGCATTGAATCATCGTTTGCATTAATTTAACAATAAATATTTCTATTATCACGGTGTCAAGTTATTATTATTTAATCGAAAAGTTTCATATTCAAAGTAGCCATTAAATTATCATTATTTAATAATAAATCGATGGATAAATTACTTTTTATAAGTCATATAGTGTAATGGATAAGAGTCAAACACTTGGCCTTAGTAGTAAGAGGTTTAACCTTGACAAAGAAATAATGTTAATGTTGTAATAAACTTTTAAATAACAAATCAATTAAAATCATTGAATAATAATAAATATAAATAAATATTATTAAATTTATTTTATGATAAAGTTAGTTTAGTGTTAAATTTTTTGGCATTAATGTAGGTATTGAAAAATTCAATATACCATCTAATTCATTGGCAAGCAATATATTATTAATTAATGCGTGCGTCTGGATCAAACCAAATCGTTAACTGTCAAAAAGAAATTATAATGTCGAATTCGTATTGTACAAATCATCGAAAAACATTTCCGGAAAACAAATTGATGAAAAAAAGAGTTTGGTATTTATTGCAACTGGGATATTGATCTGTAAAGTCATTTTAAAATCAAACCAACGTTAGGAATTTTGAATTACAACTATTTACGGATTATTGTAATTATTCTTGTTATTATTAATTATTAATTATTGAACAAAGGAAATGCAAGTTACGTATATTTACTATTTCTAAATCAAATCGATTGACGTTTGAGAAAAAAATATATTGATTTAGATATTGTTGAAGAGCGCATGAATTTGATGATATCTCTCATTAAACGGTTGTTTTCAGACAATTTTCTTGTAATAAAAATCCCAAAAAGGAGCTTCCCGCATTTTATCTGCATATCAATGTTGTACGTGAAAATGAAATTTGAATTCGCAATTCACATATGTGAAATTCAAATTTACATGCGTGAAATTCAAATTAGCCAATCAGAATCTCACTCCA